ATTGATGGAAAAAAGCTGACGGCAAATGCAACACAAGCAAAAGATACACAGAAATGACTTTGTATCAGTGAGAGGCACACAAGCAGACGTGCAGTCACTGGATCCCCCTCTGTGTAAGTGTGTGTGTGTGCAAAATAAAACAGATGATTGCCCATAAGCAAAGCGAAGAAAAAGAAACAGCAGCAACGCAACAACAACAACAACAACGGCAATAAGACAAGCTCAAAAGCTTTGCAATGGCTTCGACTGCAGCGGCGACTGCGACCGGCCGGGTCTAGCTCGGTCGCGGCTTCGGCTTCGGCTCTCCGGCTCTGCCAGCGAAGACATAAAAAATAAATAAATAAATAAGCGAGCTAAAAAGAAAACAAGCAAACATCAACAACAGCAGCAGCAGCAACACAGCCGCACACACATATATACATATATGTAGATATATAGATATGCATGCGTATGTGTGTACTTACATATGTGGAAAAACAGATGAGCGCGACGTTGCCGCCGCTGAACTCGTTTGCAGGCGGCTCAGCTCGCACCGTGAGTGAAAATCGGCAACAGCGTGCAGTCAATAGGAAAACAGCAACAACAGCCGCAATAGCGGCAGCGGCAGCGGCAGCAACAAAACCTTAGGCAAATTACATACAAACTTGCAGACACAAACACACATACATATGTATATACAGGCGTGTATGTATAACCAAATATATATTACTTGCATGCGTGTGTGTGTGTGTTTTGGGGGCGCGTTGGCTGCGAGAAACGAGTTGGAAAATCAAGATACTGACTGCCGACGAGAAGTGTTTGGAGCAGCAGCAGCAACAGCAACAGCAGCAACGCCGACAGAGCTGCAGCGCCCATAAAAACGTTCAACGGCTACGGCTGACTTTGTATACAGCATTGCATATGTATGCGATATATATTGCACATAGCTATGTGCAGCAATATCTATATATATATATATGTATATATCTGTGTGTGTGTGCGAGTGGGAACATGCGGGAACCTGCTGTGCGCCAGAAAAACAGATGATGAGCGAAACAGCTGCAAAGTCAAATGTCGCTCTCCATGCGGCCGCTGCTGAGAGCAAATGCTCAAGAGTTGAGTCGCATCAGCTGTGCGCTGTGTGCGGACGCAGCTCGTTAGTGTCACTCAAACGCCTGCCGTCAGCTGTGAGTGGTTTGTGAAACGCGCTCAAAGAGTAAATTTAAGAGCGACAGAGGGTTGGTAACCGCTCTTGAGTGCTTTGAAACTCGAATTGGCAACGTTTGAGAAAGTCAAATGTAGCTCAAACCAAATATGCTCAACTGAACTCAACTCGCTGTTACAATAAGAGGCTCTTTCGCATAAAACTCACGAAGCTCACTCACACATACTTTTACACAAATGCATATTTATTTATGCTAATGTCGACCAGCCCCCAGTGGCACGCCCCCTCGCCCCATGCTGCGGTCAGCGCAACAAATAACAAAATTAAAAAAAAAAAACTTTACCCAATGTTGTGCGAAAGAAGTTTGTCGAGCGCTTCGCTTATTGAGCATAAATCAATTATGTGTCCCAAAGATACTTTTGGCTCTGCATGTAATATAATATAATTCATTTAAGTTTTTGTTCTTAAACAATCTAAAAATTTCAAATTGATTTCATATAAACAAATTGCCATTTCCCGAGAGCTCTTCTCTCCTTCTCTCTCGCTCATCGCACTCATTCTTTGCCCTGCTCACGCTCTGCGCTGAGCGCTTGGCAAATTGTTGGCCGCTAGATGGCGCCACGCGTAGCGTTTTCGCTTTCGAAACACAAATTTCTTCACATTTATCAGAAATGCCTTTTCCCTGGTGTGTGTTATCTGTGTTGGTGTGTGTATATGTGTGTGTGGACAATTCAATTATCAAATTATGAATCAATTGTCGTCAATTATGGTTCTGATATTATCCCATTGCAAATATTTCGCAATCGCCTTTATCAGATACGAAAATATCTTTATTTATTTCTGGAGCAATTTCAGATACTTAGGTATCTATATATAAAAAAAAAAAAAATGCCATAAAATTGTGAGGTCTCCTTTGTAGATTTCCGTGAAAGTCGATTAAGTCTGCAGAGATCTTTGCATAGTTGATTTTCCGAGAATTAATTCGCCTTCTAAAAAACAACTGAAAAATAGATTCTTGTTAAATTTCATGTGATTTTCTTTGCTTTGCACGTATTTTCACGGCTTTTCCAAATTAGCATTTTCTGCTGTTGCTAGGGAGCGTGAAAATTTGAAAATTTTGGATATGTGCCTGGTTTTTTAAATGGCATGATGAAGATATTGTATCTAATAGATCAAAAATACAGTATATGAAAACAAAACTTGAAAATATGATACGAGAAATACATATAAGGTATAAGGTATAAGGTATAAGGTACCGTGTAATAGATAAAATATCTAGAGCATATAAGGAACCTGTAAAACAATCTGTAACATTGAAGCATCTGTCTAGCATTAGATACATCGTATATACAACTTAAAGTGTCTATCATGTAAAAGATGCAGTATCTTTTACACGTACATTTGTATCTTCAGCTCTATTCATATGAAATTTACTTCGATTTGTCAGCTAATAAATAAAATAAAATAAAGTAGGCGAACATTTCGCTTTTTATCTGTTTAACATATCTACACAAAAGCTAATGTATCTGACAGCAGCATAAGATACACTCACACTTCACAGAATTTCATTTGGAAAGGAAATTTCTAGATGCCGGACAAGCTAACACACACACACACACACACACGCACAGAGAGATGCAGAGAAAGAGGCACTCGATGAAACAGGTTCAAGATACATTTCAATCTTTCAATCTGTCGTTTTCAATCTGCACAGCAGCAGCAGAACAAGAAGAAGAATAGAAGGAGGGCGGCGAGATGGTGATTGAGATGGAGTCGAGGGGGCAGAGACCGTTTCATAATCGTCGAGATGCATTCAATTGAAATGAAAGAAGGACACAGCACAACAAATCCCTGATATGAATATCAAAATAATTCCAGCAAACCCAAACATAAGAAAAAAAAAAGAAGAAAACACTGAGGAGAAGAAGAAGAAGGCGAAGACGAACCGAATCGAGACAGAAAAAAATTCTTTCAAATGCTGATGAAATTCGTAGCAGATACAAAATATATGTATGTATTTATGTATATGAATAAATGTAAAAAGTAATAAAAGACTTGGCGAGAAATCGTAGATAACTATCGAGCTAACTGTAAGTCTATCTATATCTAGCCCAGAGAAATGACAATTTGTAGTTGAGAAAAGTTGACAGCAAAAGGAAAATGGAAAATTATTCACATGCGAGATATCAAAGATCTCAGTTATATCAGAAAAAATATATGAATAAATATAAAAAGTAATCAAAGGCTTGGGATAGCTATAGAGCTAACTGTAAATCGATCTATAACTAAGCTAAAGGCATGAACATTTGTATCTGTGTATGCAAAATGAAAACGAAAATAGAAAATTATTCACATATAAGATATCAAAGATCCGATTTGAGATACTTTACATTATAACAAGCACAGATACATCTCGAAAATATCTAAGATTTGTTTTTGGTATCTTATTAAATTTATCTTAGATACTTATACATTTCAGCTAAGTCTAAGCATCAATGTGTGCTCAATCTCATACTAACAGTATATTTTCCTAGTTGTTGCTGCTCAGATACTTTTCGTTGCCTTTTGTATCTTTGGCAAATCTCTGGGGTAATTGTTGTGAAATTAGGCAGCCTGGCAACAGCTCTCGATTTGCCACTTGCCACTTGCCACTTGGAGCTAGCAACTTGCAACTGGCAACTCGCAACTAGCAACTTGCAACTTGCAACTTGATATGCCATTAGCTACACATTGTGAGCGTTGGCCACTGGGCTTCGATTTTTTGAAGTTGTAGCAAACTGCAGTGGAAAATTTCAATTTTGACATGCTGCGTACTCCGGGGGCAACAGCAACAGAAACAGCAACAACTGCAACAGCAGCAGCAGCAGCAGCAGCAGCGCAACGACTGCGGGCAGCGCAGTAATGTGGAACGAAACGGCCGCTCAACGGGCGGGTGTGAAGTGGCTACCAAAATATATATACACTTACACACACATAAACATATATACATGTGTGTGTGTGAGAACATTTCCATCATCCTTTTTGGCCTGACTGCCTGCCTGCCTGCCTGCCTGCCTAGCTAGAGCTGCCTGGCCGGCTGGGTGGCTGGCTGCCTGGCTGGCCGCCTGTCGTTTGCGCTGCCTGCGCCGGCAGCAGCGAAACATGCTCAACCGGCACAAAAGTCACGTATGCAAACACACACACACTCTCACGCACAGAGCGGGAGCGAGAGATACATACGTATACGTGCACACAGTGTTTGGCGTTTGTATTGGTGTGCACGCACAGCGTCGGCAGAGCGGCAGTTAAAGGAGAAACAGAAACGGTGACAATGCTGGGCCGGTTGTAGGTGCGCATGAGCGAGTCGAGCAGCCCGTTGAGTGAAACAGCTGATGAGTGAGCACAGTGAAGCAAACGCGAACGAGAGTGAGATAGAGTGGGAGATAGAGCGAACAGCAGCGACTACGACGACGACAGCGCGCTGTAACAAGCAGACAACTTACATCAGCCGTTTTGTGCTTCTCTCCTCTCTGCCTGTGCTTCTTTCTACCTGCACTCGCGCTCGCACTCGCACAGCAACAACAATTACGGCACCCACATACACACACACACACACTTATTCCCATATACACACGCACACATACAGAGTGAGGCCACATATTGAGTATATACGTGCATGTAGCGGTCTCTTTGCGGAGAGCACAACCGCTAATTGCTCAGCAAACACATACAGTGCATTGTTGTTGCTGTCGCTCTACCTCTGCCTCTGCTGCTGCTGCGAGCGCACCACTCAAACGACTCGACAGCAAACCAACCAACCACCACCAGAGCAAATGAGCGAGCGCAGCCGGCCTATAAATAGCGGCTGCGGAGCACAGCTCTTCATAGTAGCTTCGAAACACTGCTGAGATAAACACATAGAAAAGTAAGAAACGGCAAAGCAGCAATAAAAGAAAGCGCAAACAGCTAACAGCTAAAAATTTAATAAAAAGCGTGTATTTCAAAATTTTCTACTGTTGGACAATTCAAATATATTTTGTTTCACGAAGAATTCTATGAATAAAACAAAAAACATTCAACACACACATCTAAAATGTACTTGTAGTACTTGTAACTGTAAAAAGAAAAAACACCATCAACAAATTTTCAATAATTTTATGAAAATTATTAAATTTAATAATTGCCATTAAACAAATGCAACGGACCAACGCCATTTAAGTGATATACTACAAACAACCAACAACAACAACAAAGTGCTGTGATTTCCAACTACAACAACAAACAAATTTCAAGCAATCAAGCAGCATAAATTTTTAATGAAAAACAACCAGCAAATTGTGATAATAATAAATAATTAACTAAACAAGAACTCTATTAATTATAAAAAGAACGTTTCAAGTGATACAAAAAAGAAGCGAACCGAAAGGAATCGAACAGAATAATTCATTAAAGAAACAAAAACAAAAATTCTAATGAAAATGGAAGTTCTCGCTGTGCAGTCAAACTACGGCGGAGTCCTCGGTTCCAACAAAGTTAGAGGTAAGCTTGAAAAGAAAAGAAACTAAAAAATTGGAGAAGAAAGCAAAGTGAAAGAAATCTTAGATTCTAGACTATTCCAGAAGCTTCCAGCAGCTCAAGTCTTAGAGAAAATTTTTAGTTTAAAATTATTGCAAAAAGAAAAAAAAAATTAAAAACCATTTTTGTGTTGAGGATTTTCGGAAATCTAAGAAATAGAAATTTCAAATACAAATATTTCAATTTAGCTTTTATTTTTTCGAAATTTTTGAATTTAAAAATTTTTCAAACTGAATTTCAATTAATTTGATTTTTTATGTAAAACTGGAAAGCAAAAAATTGCATTAAAAATCAATTTACACACATGCAAAATAAATAAAGCAACAACAACATAACATGAGCAGTGACATCTGCTACACAGTCACGTACGCAACAACAAAAAATTTAAATGAAGAAAAAAAAAATTGTGTAAAAACTGATTTTTTCTTTTCTGTGTTGCTTGTTGCTCGCACTCGTTCGCCCTCTCACTCTACCTCTCTTTGTCGCACGCTCGGTGCCCTCTGCCTATGCCGCTTTTATCTCGTTTGCTGCTTGTTGCCAAGCGGTGTTCGCTGCGCTTGCAAGAGTGTGCGTGTGAGTGCGTGCGTGTATGCGTGTGTGAATGAACATTAAATAGCAGCAAAAGCTGCAGCTAAAAGCTCCAGCCGAAGCAACTTAACGCCGTTTAATCGTTCACTAAGTCGACGTCGTCGTCGTTTTTGTTGTTTTTGCAGTTGCTCTTTGCGTTTGCCTTTGCATTTTGTTTTATTGGTTTCTTGTACTTATCAAAGTTTTGTTTTGTTTCTTTGCGCTACTTTTAGATTGGACCAGCACATTGACACCGCCTACGTCCGCCGCGTCGGCCAAGAAGGTCGCCAGCGTCGCCAGCAGCAGCAGCAACGGCAGCAGCAGCAGCCGCGGCCAGCACACACACAGTATTAAGCACAAACAGCAGGCAAGCAGCAGCAGCAGCAGCGGAAGCAAGAAAACCAAGTCGAGCAGCCATCCCATGAGCAGCAGCAGCAGCAGCACACCCTACAGCAATACCTACAGTAGCCAGTATGAGGACGAGCTGCCCGACTGCTGTGACATCGACATGGCTGCCGTTGACGAGCTTTCGAACGGTCTGCTGGACAAGCTGCGCGAGGCAAAGGCGTGCCATTTGACATGCACCGAGGTGTCGCTACCCTGTGATCTCACGCCCAACATTGCGGCGGACATAATTCGCGTTTCCGAGAAGGAGCCGTGCGGTATTCGCGGCTGCACCATCTACATCGAGTTCGAGGATGAGCCACAGAACTCCAGGCGCATCGCTTCGCTGAAAGTGGATCCCGAAACGGTCTCCACGTTCGAGGTGTATCTGACCCTGCGCCAGGATCATCGCGGCTGGGCGGCACTGCTGCCACAGTTCATGAAGAGCCTGGCACGCACCATTACCATCAGTCCGGAGTATACCATCACCAAGCATAAGCTCTACTCTGCCGATGGCCTGGGCGCCCGACGCAGCTACAGCTTCGGCTCAAGCTCCCGATCAAGCTCAAGCTCTAGCCATAGCCAGGCGATTGCAACGCCAACGATATAAGTTGAGCGAAAGCGAGAGAGACAGAGATCAAGAGCGAGAGAGAATGAGAGACGTAGACGGAGACGCAGTTATATTTATATACACACATACATATATATGTAGATATATATATGTAGAGAAGCGAGCCCAGCGAGTGCGACAAGGAAGCGCGCCCAACACCGCCCAACACCCCCTGTGATGTCGAGAGCAGTAGTTAGTTGCGAGCGCAACGCGACGACGAAGCAAGTATTCGAAGCCACCCCACCTACACAACTACACACACACATACACACAAATACATACACACGAAACGCATACACATTAGTATACGACACACTCACACACATACACATACTAATAAGCAAAGGAGTTGCTCTTGAGCCTGCGCCGCTCGCTCATCGGGCAGCTCTCTTTGCATTCAATTTTGTAATTGTGACTCTCACCACCATTTTACTTAGATGCGTAGTAGATGCTATAAAAAGCAGCAACAAAACAAAAGAAAAAATAATTAGTGTTTTAAGTTGTTTCTCCTTTTTCAAAAACAAAAGAAAAGAAAACAAAACAAATCGAAGAAAAAAAAACATAAATTTATAAAATAAAAACAAAAAGAAAACATGAAATTCAAAGACGACGATTCGCAAGCCACAGCAGCGAGCGTAACTGTGCGAACAGCCCTCTCGCTGCTGGGCCGCTGCGAGGGTCGCTCGTCGACAACTCATGAATATGTGATACTGTTTAAGATGCTAAGAGTTTTTTGCAAGCGCTCGCAAGTTCGGCCAGGCAAAAAACACACACACAATTACACAATTACATACATACATACACACAAAAACATAAAAATTAAATGTGAACAGATTTTTTAATTGTATGCTATTGTAGTAATAAACAAAACAAAACAACAAACAAACTTGATCTTGATAAATTTTAAATTTAAAATATGTTTAATATGAGAAAAGCAGCATAAAAACGCTGTAAAAACAACTCTTCTGATTAAACACATACTCTCCAAGTAGAAGAAGAAGAAGAAGATGGAGATGCTGTTGTGTAAAACTTAATCAGAAGAGCAGTACGATCCAATTTTAGTTAGACGCAGCTTGCTGCATTAAAATTTTTTAAATTATTTATTAATCTTAATTAAAACCAACAAATTTTAGGATTTTAACAAATTTTTATATACATATACATAGATATGTATGTATATATATATATATTATTAAATGTATAGCGCGTACAACAAACAAATTAAAAATCATTAAAAATACAAAAAAAATAAAATTAAAGAAAATAATTGCTTAACTGTTAAGGCAAAAAGAATATCTCAGTAAATGTGAAAGCGTAAAAAATTTGTAAAATTTTTTTTTTGTCTGTGTAAAAACTCCAATTGCGATAAAAAACAACAAAAAATAATAATTAAAAGTAAAAATAAAAAATACATGTAGCAGCGAAAAATGATAAAAAATTAACAATTAAAATGCAATGCGATATAATTTCTAAAAATTACAATTTAACGTAACAAAGAAAACTTAATGTTCTCACATACACAAACACACATACATACACACAATACACCCACACACACAAAAGTATCTATACCAGCTTAAAGTATCTTTATCTTTCAAAACGAAAACTATTTATTAAAACAAAAACAAAAAAAAAAACACAAAAAGATAAAAAAAAAAACAACACGAAATTCATGTATTAATTTTTTTATTACAACAACAAAACATATTGTATTTAATGTTAAGTTTTTTATTGCGTAATTTAAAAACAAAAATTAATTGTGAGAAATTTGTAACCAAAATGTAAAAAAAAAACTTTTGTGAAAAAAAAAAAACAAAGCAAATGCAAATGCAAATGCAAACACAACAAAAGAAAAGCAAAAACAAAGGCAAAAAAAAATATATTAAAAACAAAATAAAAGCATATAATTTTTCCTGCTCTAGCGGAAAATAATTGTGGAAAAAAAAATTAAAACAAAACGGCTTTCTATTTGATCATGGCTCGAGTGGGGAGTGGGCGGCGTCGGGGGAGTTGGGGGAGTGGCGCTTGTAGCGGGTGCTCTGCAGCTTTCTTTTGCAGCCAAGTGAAGTGCGGCAACGCTGCAACGACTGCAACTGGCAACGGGCAACGGCAATCGCAGCACTGCGATCTGTGGCAACGTCGGCAATCGGAGGCAACCAGTTTCTGTCTTGGCTCTTGCTAGCCCCAGTTTACTGCTCGCAGCCAAGGCTAAGACGGGCGGTGCGGCAAGCGCATCGGAGTTGCGCTGTGAACTTGAGTGAAAAGCGGCAACAGCGCACGATCGTGCGACACTTGTCAAACCGAATTTAGCGTAGCCAAACAGAAGCTGCTCAGCTTACAGCTAAATATAGCCGAAAACGGTATTCATCATGCGAGTTACTAAGCAGTTAGTATTCGAGTTTAGGCTTAGTCTGTAACTTGAATGTAACTAAAAACCGAATTTATCTGTATTATTAGAGAACGAATCTGTATTACTAAGAATAAAGCAGAATTTGACTGAAGAAGTGATGTGTTTCATTTATTATGTCTAGAAATAGTTAAAAATGCTCAACTCACACAACCTTAGGCTGTTAATGTAAAATATATTTAGCAGTAATATCGTGTATATATATTTGACTGAAGTAATGATAATGCTAAATTACTTTTTGTGTTTACTAAAATAAAAAGTTTTTAAATTCATTTCGACTTATTTATAGTTATCTAGCCTAAGCTTTGTCTTACCTTCAACTCTACTTTTCTTTCAATAATAACATTGACAATCATAACTACTAATGATAATGTTAATAACAATTATATGATAGTGCTAATAATATTTATAAATACGCACTAATGAAAATGAATGAAACAATAGTAATAGTAACTTAGGTATATGCTAATGATTATGAAAGTAATGATGATAACAAATATGTCAATGACAATGACAATTTATACAATACAAATGAGATTTTATATACTAATAATATAATTAAATAATAATAATTATAATAAATGGAATAAAGATAATAATTTATATAATACTAATACGATTTTAAATACTAATAATAATAATTATAAAATAAATATTATAATAATAATGACATTAGTAATGAGATTTTATATACTAATGACAATGTTGATGACAACTGTAATGCTCAATGACAATGATTATGATGTTGAAAATGAGTTCAATAACAATGACAATATGTAAGGTATTATTAATATCTACTAATGACCAAGAATAATTGCCATAATGACAGTTTCTATAAGCCCAGAACTTTATTTCCAGTTTGGTTTCAGTTGCAACAGTCTTACACTTGTCTAAATACCCATAAAACTCTTGATGGAAAGCCTATAAATACCCATGACAAATACTGGAGTCGTATCAATTTCTGATTCAATTGATATATAGAATACAATAATAATATTCAACATTTATCTGCTGCTCTATATATGGAGATAAGCTTCCTCTCAAAACATTTGCATTAGTCATTGGCCTTTCGGGCTGTCGACTCTGCTTCGATTCCGTTAAAGTTCTAATCTGCATTGACAAGATCTTGAGTTCGTTCCAATTAAAATCTTAAAATAAGTAATTCGAATTAAAATTCTCACGTCATGGGAATACAAAATTAAATCATTTAATGCCACGTCACAATTTGGATATGTTTTAATTTTGATTTTCGGTTTTGTTTTTGTTTTCGATTTCATGTGTGAAAATATTTGTTTTTTGAACTTTGCGATTGGCGCCTCGCGCGGAACGCAGTGAAAGGGGCAGCCAGGCGGGCGGACTTCAATTTGCTGACGCGTCTGACGCTGATAATTTCCTTGATTCTGTAATTTATAGTTGTTTTTATAAATATTTTTCAAAATTTCTCTCTCTTACTATGTGTATTATATATATATATATATATATAATATATATGTCTTTAGATTGCGTGCGATATTGTTTTTAGTGTCGTCTATTGGAACACGTTTCCGTTATGTGACACACGCGTTCCACTACAAAACAAAAACTAGTGCTCTGGGCGGGCGTATTCGACTTTGATATATCCACTATACAATATGCTAGATATACGAACCATATGAGACTTTAATCAGTCTGTGTTAGGGTCAATGACACCACGATTTCCCATAAGACTTACGCGAAATATTTTTGGCGAAATGGAAGAAATTTTGAAAATATAGGAACAGTTATTTAGTATTTTATGATTGCATATAGAGCATACAAGTGTTATATTGTACACATATATAGTATATTTATTACTCACAATGTCATGTAAGTATATATGAGTAATACTTAAATCACGTTCAAGCTCTGCTTTATCAATGCAAGTTTTTAGAACATTGGATAGACATCGGGCAAAAACAATTGTTTTGTGCTGACTGCGATATACGAGATAACAAATTCTTATGGTTTTAAGCGTTCTCGAGATAGATGCATCAGATAGAGATATTGGTTACATATATATATTATATATACCATATAAAATCATTTTCATTAAATTCCAGGGTATTAACAGAATGTTTTATTGTCAGGTTGCAGGATAGAGGAGAGTTCCTGTTGCATGTATATATACCCAACCCATATATATCCAAGCACCTTGCTTATACATGCATGTTCAATAAATTCCAGGGTATTTTAAAGCAAGTGTTTTGTCATTATTCTCAGGTTAGTGTCAACTGTTTCTTCTACTGAACTATACTGCATATAACTTTTATATGTGTCCAGAGTATTCCACGAAACAAATTATAATACAAAAGTGTTTTATCATTTTACCAGTTGACTCCAAAAACGAATATTCACATGCATCATATGAATTTTCTATAAATATGTGTATATTTTTGTGACATGTATTGATGAACATATTAACTCAATTCTAGGGTATTACAAAAACCACGTACATTAGAAGAGAGTTTGCTCATTTTAAAAAGGTTAGAGTTAATAATTTCATCTCCTAGAGTATATCTACCCAAAACTCTATTGTCAATCCAGCCCATACATTTTCCGTAAATTCCAGGGTATTTCAGATAATAAAAGAATAAAGAACAAGCATAATAGAAGAGGAGTATTTTGTCATTTTAGAAGGTTGTAGACATTATTATCTTTCTGCTTTTGCATAGTTTCTATGGGCCCTGACCATATTTTCGACTGGCAGCTGTTTAAAGTTGTGTATGTACTCATCGGGTTTGTGGAGGCAGAAAACATCTGGGTGGTATTTCCCCATCGATTCGCGTGAAAAGCGAAGGCAGTATTTGCAATATTATTCAGGCCCGAAGTTTGCCGCCTATTGTTCCAATTGTTCCCGCGAAGAGGGAAACAGAACAGATCGCGGACGAGCAAATATTATACATATACTATACTATTATTAAATGGGTGTGTCACTTATGTCAACAGTTTGCTTCGGCTGCATATTTCAAATACGGAATTTCTGTTATTGAACGAACGGCGAAACAATTCGCAAATATTTTCCCAAGTCTCTGTCGAGCGGGTTTATTTTTGAATAGATCGCAATAGCCAGGCGACATGTGCCGATCGTCCAAAACTATTTCGACTGCCATATTCATGTGTTTGTCTTCCAACACTTGCCTGACTCGCCTCGACTCGACTCGACTATATACATACCATTCTAGACATGGAAATTTTCCAGGTTTCTTCTAGTATTTGGGCACGTGGCGACTTTACTTGCAGCTTAAGATGTCCACAGATATTGGTAAAGCATATCACTTAATCCTTCAGAATCTTGTATGTATTTGTATAAATATTATTTTACCCGCTCTCCCTTTAAGATTGCCAGACCTGGCTGCCTGGTACAGACCTG